TGTGTGGAATAAATAAGGAAACATAAAGTAAAGAAGAAAGATCATTATTTATAGATATTTTAATTCTTTTCTCGCTTTCCATAATTTTCTCTCAAATTTATTAAGAGAATTATTAAGAGAATTATTAGATTTATTAAGAGAATTATTAAGAGAATTATTATTAAGGGATAATAACTAAAATAATAAAAATATATGAGATAATATTTTGTTGACAAAAATTTATATCTTTTTTAGTATTATTTTTCTAAGGAATCATTGATTCTATTTTTTACATGTTTGCGCTTTTTTACAATAAATTTTACTTGCATTACATTAATTTTTATAATATAATAAGAATATGCATATGCTTACTCATCTATAAGAATATAGAATGAAATTTTGAGAGAAATCTCAATTAAAATCGTAAGGAGAAAATGTATTGAAACGATCAGACGCGTCGTAAGATTTCATAAATAATCACGTGTACCTAAAAGTCATTATTTTCACAGAAACTCTCGATAATCCATTTAATCGACTAATTAATCATACGAAGCATTAATTTTTGTAATTAATTGCGACCATGTATAGGTAAAATAGACTAGCAAAATGAAGAATAATAATCCATCGAATCAAGTGTTATATGGCCCAGTTATTATCGATAAACTTGTTGTCGGCCGCCGCCCGCTTCGATGTTTTCATTTCAATAGAAATCGATGGACGTAGAGCCGCGATGAATAAGTAGGAAGTTTAGGAGACGAAAGAGAGAGAGAGGGTTCAGGTAAGATGGAACAGGCGTGAGGAACAGCGCGCGAGGGCGGGGAGGAGAAAGAGGGGGAGTAGGACAAACGCGACCATGTAATTAGAAATCATGGGATTTACGGGGCATCGGGCAATAAATCCAAAAAGTAACGGCTAATAGCACGCATATTGACGTATCCATCTGGCTATCGTTCATCTTTCTCACGAGTCTCATCGCGTGCACGCCCCGTATCCGCGACGCGCGCCTCGCGGCTACTCGCTCTCGCTCGTTCACGCGGCGGGGACGAAAGGATCGAACGCCTCCAGAATGAACTACGGGGCTTTCTTCTCGGGGGGATGAGAAAGAAGGAGAGAGAGGGAGGACGTCGCGCCGACTATAAGCATGCTTGATTTACGTTAAAAGCCGAGTAGGGACCCCGCATTGAGTCTTTATCGAGTAGGAGTGAGACGATGATGATGAACGATCGGCGATTTGTAGAGGTGATCGTCGAATGCGCGCATATGCGAAACGGATCTGTATCTATATTTATGTGTATGAGCTCGAACGAATCTTGCTGATCATCGTAACCCATATCCCGCGTGCACAAAACGCGCTTTGAGAAGATCGCTTTATGCCGGTAGAAAAATTGCAATCACAATCGTCTTTCAGCAGTTCGTTACGTGTGGTATAGAATCTTATCAGCTGTCGTTTCCAATGAATTCCTCGACGGATTCTTTATTAACTATAAATTCTTAATGCATTTGTGGAAAATTTAAATTCAAATTATGTATATATTTTATATCTATTAAAATTGTGTTTAAATTAAGCAAGAATTTTTTTGTATCTGTTTTTTTTTAGAGCTTTGAAACTTGATTTATTATAGTTTTTTAATTTATTATATATATATATTTTATGGTTTATTATATTTTTTAATATATATTTATATATATTTTATGGTTTATTATATTTTTTTAATTTTATTATATATATTATATATGATTAAAACCAAGTTTTAAAGCTCTAAACAGAAAGAGAGAGAAGCAAATAAAAGAAAGTTCTTGCTTATTTAATTTAAGCATAACACACCATTTTAATTTTAATTTTAAAACTCTAAGCACAAAATATATAAAAGAAAGACCTTGTTTATTTAATTTAAATTTAATTTTAATATGAACTATATAGTTGAATCGGGGAACATCAACTCGAGATATGTATATTCTATTATATATCTAATGTCGATTACAATTTGATGCTGGCCCATTGAATTCTATCTCGAATGTCATCATATATGTATAACAGTACTACTGAATATATTCATCACATGGCGGAGACGATACAATATTCTCCAGCGAGCACAGGCAGTTGGGATTAACGTCTTCATTCCACGTGAAACCCCTTGCAATGCTGTGCCGGTAATCGATCGGTTATGGTAATTCGAGCGAGCGTCGAGCGCGATCGTTAAAAAAGCTGCGTGCCAACCGTGCGGTTACAGTATACCTGGTACAACTGCCACGTACTTGCGGCAATAAGCGGTCGCGATGCGTGCAATTCGATTAACGCAACAACGGGTGCGCGATCGGTCGCTCGTCGTGCGTGAAAAGAGAGAAACCCACGGAAGAAACGCCCAGCCATCTATCTACGATCACAGCTGATCGTGGAGGCGATGCGCTGATTCGAGAAATTTCACGTGTTTGCATAGAACGATTGACACTTTAGCCAGAAAATAATAAAGATGAATACTATCATAATAATTAAGTTATGAAAAAAATGAATTTATTGTTGCATGCAGAAGAAATGTGATTTTTTCGTTGCAAGATTATTATATATATTAATTATATTTGAATTTTTCGTGTAATGTTTCTTCTGATATAACGCAAATGTTGTTTTGGTGAATTATATGATGCATGTGTAAGATTTTATGATATTATATAACACGCGTGTTACAATACAAATTATAAAAATTATTAAGTAAACTATAAATTATAAATTTAAATTAGAAATTAGAAATTTATATAAATAAAGATATTGTTACATCTCTTTGACACATATTAAGATATTCGACATACATTAAAATTAAACTTTTAGTGTATTGACAAATCATTTTGTTATTCATTAATTTATCATCTCAAAAATTATTTATAATTGTAGGATTATATGTCATAGATCAAAATGATTGAGCGATAAATAATGATAGTAATGGTGAAACTCGTAGAAAATTAGAACGCATTCTATATATAGTATTACTGTTATTTGTATGAAAAGTTAACTGATAACTGCAAATTGAGAAGAGACAGGAGGAGAGAGAATTTTATGCGCGAAATTAATTGCAATTTTCTCCTGACATTATCAAAAAAATAAAGAAGTGTAAAATTTGAGTTTTTAAAAACTTCAATAACTTTGATCTGATGTTTGCTTGCCGTTGGATATTATTGTAAGCAACCAAATAATGTCGTCGCGAATTATCATTCACGCCTTAGGCAAGTACCTTCGGAAGAGCTTCAAAGTATTATGCATGTATTTATGAACTGGCAACGAGATGCGTTTATATCTGTATATCGTAAAATTCTGCACATCTCTATCCAGTAAGAGACTAATGGATTCGCGTATTAATATATCGATTTTGTGTTTACAATGTGATTTATATACAACTAATCGCACTATCTGTTAATGTAAAGAAACAAGATCTTGTCTAGTCTGGAAATATTTTTTAATATGAAAAATTAGGCTATTAGGGATAAAGATGGTATTAAATGTAATTCTGATAAAATATTTGTTTACTTTCTAAATTTATAAATAAATTTATAACAATAAGAGAATGTTATTTTTAAATTTACATGTAGTTTTCAATCGATCTTGGAATATTCTGTATTCTGAATTTAACAAGATGTTCTCCCACAGTTAGATATCTATTTCTTATCTTTTTTCTTATCGATTTCTATAAATGCCTTTTTATCTAATGTTTATCTAGACAATAAGAGTATGAGATCAATTAGTAATTAACTTTCACGACTTTTACCTATGGTGTCTTTTGAGCATTATTAGGTTCTTAAACATAGATCAGCTTGAAGCAATGCTAAAAGGCGTCGGCTGTATTTAATGATCAGTAGTATATAGCCAGGGTTACGACCCCGGCATCACGACCGCGGTAACACGGATGAAAACGAACTGTTACTCAGCGTTATCTATTACGATCACGGAATTGTTTATAATGTCACTGCTGATACATATTTTACCCCGTAGCTAAAAGACCTTATTCAGAAAGAGATGACCTACTCCCAAGGTAGATACAACTTCTAAAAGGATGTCATTTAATAATTTATACCGGGCAGGAAGATTGCAATCGGCAATCGCTCATCGTGAATCGAATCATGATCTATAATCAACCGAGCTTGCCAACATTTACTGCCCCATTGAAATAATTCATGTTGCACAATCGCATGTATCTACTTGGAACGCAAATTAAAATAATACCGTACGTGCGAACAAATCAACTTCCAGAGCGTTAACAATTTTTATGTCTCTTTAGAGAGACAAATTGGACTTTGATGCAGTTTCATTATTATACTTGTACGCGCACTGAGAAAAAAATCTGGTTGCATTAATTAGAATTCTGGTAGATTCAACCAGTATGTCTGTTGGAAAATGGACAAACCAGAATTCTTGTAGGAATTACCAGATGAATCTGATTAATTTCTTCCTGTTAAATTTACCAAATTTTCTGGTTAATAATATTAAACTCACTAACACCAAGTCATCTAAAATTTTTTCCATCTAATCTCAAAAGTCTGTTTAATATTTTGAATTCCAACAACATTATTGGATAAATTCAATCCAGATTATTAAATAAAATATTTTAAATTTAGTTTGTTAGAAATTAAACTGATAAACAGTGATACAAGAAGATGCAGCTCAAACACCCACAATCAGAGAGCATCATATTGAATACAAGTTAAGTTAAGAGTGGCTCGTCTAGCGGCAAGCAAAGAAATTAATGTAACAAGAAATTGTATAGATCCAACCAGAAAATACTAACCAAATCCTTAGTAAAATCTATTAAACATTCTAGTTATAAAAAATCGAGTCTTATTATGATAATTAGAAATTCTTGTTTGATTTAACCAAAATGCCTTCAATCATATACGTCTTGTTGGTACAATCAAACGATTTTTCTCAATGCGCAAACAAAATTTCTTTATAAATACAAGTCGATATATTTGATAAATTTCCTACGTTGAACTTTAAACAAGACATTGACCAAGACTGTTCTATCTGTCTGTTGCAGGATACATAGACGTCGTCGGGAGACCGGTTATCGAATTCGAGGACAACGTATCCACAAGGGAAGACCTCTCCGTTAGAGAGACATCGTCTTTTCTGCTCTACCTCGCTCGTCTACCCAGGTACGTATCTCGCCCCTCATATAACGTTCGCATAATGCATCAACGTCGGCGAACATCGAAATCAGCCTACGGAGTCGCGGGATATCGATAAATCAGCTGGATCATATCGCGGGAGATGAGTCGCGCGCGTGCGCGCTCCTTGGACCGTGGCTATAATTTATGAATTCGATTAGCGGCGGCCCGCGATCATTTTTGCGAAGGGCGTTTTTAACCCGCGGAGAAGAATTCACACTTTACGGCCGCGGCGTGCCGGCGCGAGACACCCATTTATTACGAACGGCATCCTGTGCTCCTCAACGAGACCGTTGTAGCCGATAATCACTGAAATCATCCGACTCCGAATTGGCAATTTATTAATCCCGTGCCGGCGAGAGAGGAAGGAGCGCGCGAGCTTTCCGCTAAATAAACGTGATCGACGCCGGTGTCGGTAATAATTATAATTTTCCGCCGTCATGAAATCGCGGACACGCCCACTATAATCGCCGATGCGGAGCAAAATCGCGGCTCACCGTTCTTCCTGGCCTTGGTCGTATCTCGTCCTACAAGCTCTCTAACGAAGCTTCCTCTCATTTGTAAGCTATTCAATTAACGCGTTTACGACGTGCCCACCGATATAGCACTTTCTAACATCGGTGCAACACCGATTAGATACCGTGAGAACCGATTCGAAACAAATCGACGTTCATTCGATTACGGAAAACGTATGCATGTTGCGACCTAATACTCGATAAGATAGTTATCAATGAATTATTCGAGTCATTAATTAACTAAAATATCGAAAATTAAATTTAATTGATTGATAAGGAGAGAGCGAATGAAATATTACGCGCTTGTTCGCGACATCCATCTTCTTTCGAATTTAATGTCACGTTGATTTACTTGAGTTTGTTCGACGTAAAAGTCATAATGTGGCTTGAAAGTGAATTGAAATGGAAGGATTTTAACAAGTGTCTCTTGCAAAAATTATTTTCTCGATTTTTACTTCTCAGAGATGCTTTTTGATCGATGTCATTCGCGATTTTCCCGACACTCTTGATCGCGCGCATTCGCACTTTCTAGCTCGTAAAACACACGTACGATAAAACATAGTCGCAATCTCGCACCGGTATCAATCATCCCGCGGCTTTACGATTTTCCGCGCAACGAAGGAAATCTCGTGCTCAAACGAACGGCAAGAAAGAAAGCGGCGGGAAGAACGAGAAAGGACGAAAGCGAGAAAAGCGCGCGCTATCACGCCCGGGGTGCTTCTCGACGAGAAGAAATACCGTCGAGATCTATCTTTCAGCATCTTGGACGCGAGGCAGAGCGTCGTTTCCGCGTCGGCGACTCTTCCCCGTCGATGCCGCGTCGGTGTTCATGGGAAAAAGGCGGAAAATTTCCGCGATTTCATCGATGCCGAGCCGCGTTTATACATGTATATACCTTTCATCGGTATCTCCTCGGTGCGAAGTTTAACTCACGCAGCTGATAGACCGTCCCCGCGGGCTTCCCGGATCTTTCCGATGTATCTCCGCGGGAATAATTGAGGGGAACCCTGGAAAAATATCGCTTGCTCTTTGGTCGATCGCGCTGCGCGGGAATTAATACGAATTTACGACGAAAAGATCGCGTTAACGAGATGCATTCGGGCTGACCGACGATTTTCCATGTCGATAAAATGTAAGAAACGCGCTGGCGATACCGAAACTCGCGAAAGCGATTTATCTCTCGCGTTCCCAGGATCGGTGTAAGCGAGCCGGGGCGATACTTGTAATTTATCGCAGCCGAGTTATCATCCCGCGCTGGCCACAATACGCATTGTTACGCGTCGATATCTTTCGTTTGCCGGAAGAAAGGCGGGCGCGAATACGCACGTGGACTATATCTCCCGGCGTGGAATCCGCGACGAAAGCCGGTGTCATAATGACTCTCTAAGCGGAACATGATCGTTATAAATCAGCGTTGTACGCGCCGGTTGTACGCGCCGCGCGAGAGATTCATTAGCGTTTTTTCGCGCGACCGCGGTGGGAAAGCGCGACGTTGACATAGCGCCTCGCAGGTTTATCGGTGGCAGATTACACGTGGATAAATCCGACGATGCAGATTTATCGCGAACAAAACGACAAAACGTCTGGGAACCTCCTCTCGCGTGAAATTGACCCCGGAATTTCCACATACGAGGCAGTTGAACGCAACTTTACGTGTACACACTTATGTTGGTGCGTTATCGTACCGTGTAATGTGTCGACGAGGCGTAAAAACAGGCGGCACTCTTTCATCCCATCATGCAATCACGCGGAAGAGCGTTTAATCGATGGACAAATCGCGCGTAATAAATGGGTAGATAGATGCTTGTTACGAATCTGGGACGCACATGCACTCCAATTAGGCACACATGTACGCGATTCGTAATTTTCGCATAATATTTAAATACTCGTGAATATAAGCTAGCGATATTTTGACATAAACAAATATCGCCAATATTTTTTAACAGTATATTGACACTTGATGAGACTATTTAACTATCGATTGTCGATTTTCGCTTCTTAAGAGGAAAATGAATCTGTGTGGAATGAATAAAAAATTGTGCTTTGATCGCGCCTTAATTTTTGCGGAGAGTGAAGTGGCGAAAGCGCGATATCGTGCATTGAGTGCATTCATCGTGCATGTCTGATATTTATCGATATTTATTGATTGAAATTTGCCGACAGATGTGAGATAGGCGGCTTATCGGCTAGTCGTTTCCGTTTTAATTAAACTTTCTGAGGTTGCATTTATATTTATGCGTCTACTTACATAGACTGACCTTTACTCTTTGCACGGAACGTATTTTTTTTGTAAGTTTTATATATTCTTTTTTAAAATATTTTTAATACTTTTTTATGGATTCCTGTTAAAAAAGTATTAATAATTTCGGAATCAGTATAAAATGCGATTAAAATTATTGATATAATAAATACATACATTTTTATTTGCTAAATAAATTTTAAATCCTTGTCTAATAATGTCAGAAAAAACAAAATGAAATCATTTTAATTAAAAGCAATAAATTGATAATGTATTCGACGAGATAACGACGGATCTACAATCTTAAGAGGATACACGTGTAACGGATCCGTGCAACTTTCTTAATTCAAGATTGTCATAGTGTGAAATAACAAGTCACGTTTCACGGCAGTCGCTTTTGCAGTGGCCGCCTTGAAAGCTTATATCTCACACGGGAGAAATATATTAAGCGTCAAGCGAGACTCCCGCGGTTTGCGTTACGCGTAATAACTTGATTGGTCGCGGTGAAAGGTCGAATCACCAAAAGTAATTCGCAAATGCATCGCCAGGCGAAATTGACCTCGAGTCGTCTTTCACCGTTAACTCGCATCACCGGTTTGTCCAGCGTTGAACATCGGAGCTTTGATCGTTATATTAAGGAGGGAGGTGAGAAATTAATTGATGGACACTCGCGTAAAAATACATGTAGCTTATAGGTATCCATGTTTTATTAGCGATACTTTATTCATCGGATATACTTATACAATCCTAATTATTCATGGTAAAAAAGGTGTCTAGACAATTTTTTGTCTTTTTCTCTCAAGAATTGAAACTTAAATGATTCGCAAAAATCGATAAGTCTAGTAGCATGTCCGCATTCGCCGCGATTATAGATACATTGCGACTGATAATTAATGGACGATCGCTCGAGCAAACGGTAGGTCAAGAAACATCTCGGTGGCTGGCAATCCGTCGCGTATGTATCGTGTATATCACGCAGGACGGAAAGTCACGAGCGGCAAATCGCAGAACGATAGGATCGCGAGGAATCTCTCGTTGATCCAGTTGTGCACCTGACCGCATTTCCGCATGAGTTATGGACGCGCATCAATCCTCTTATCCTGCCCTCCTTCTCTCTCTCTCTCTCTCTTTCTCACCCTCCGTCTCGAGAGGCCGGGATCGTCGACTCTTTCTGTCCTTCCCTCCCACGAACCACCCTCTATTTCAAGCCGATGATAACGGTAACGACTTCGGCGAAACGTCCCTCCTTGTTATCGCGCTTGCTTTTCCCTCCGGGAGGAAGATTCGTAACTGCAGTTTACTGACCTACTTCCGAGATTGTATCTACTACCTGTATCTCTCTCGTTTTTCGTGTCACTCTTTTATCTTTCTTTAATTGCTTCCTTTTTATTTGTCCGGCCTGTCTTCCTCGGTATATTTTCTGGCTTTATTCTTTTTTCAACATCATATTTATGTCTCTCGGGACTTTTATTTCCTTAATTTAGGCGCGTCTCGATGCGAACCGTCGTGATTTTGCCAATCGATTTGTGTTACTTTGCCATTTTTATTCATATGAATTATAATTAACATTTGATGGATGAACGGATGGTTGGCGGAATTTTTATGAATAAACACATCTATTGATTAATCTATTGGTTTTACGACATTCTATGTATAATAATATAATATAAAATTTAAGTAGAAACGCATTTAATAATAATTTTAAATAAGAAAGAGGAAAATAAGAAAATTTTACTCCGCGATCGCATATTTTTACAGAAATTATATTCCATTGGTCTTTTATTCGTTTAAATTTATTCACATAGTATATAACATATAATCATGTCTACATGTTTTATTGTGGACATGAAGGTTTACATTTTTCATAACGAGATATATAATTGCAACTCGCTTCATTTTCTCGCTCTCGGCGGGAAAAGCCACGCGATTTTTGCGTAATCGACTCTCGTTTGCGAAGCGATTAACGGCATGTAATGTTTAATAATCGGGATATAATGTTTAATATCGTTAAGACACTATTTACGTAATTAAAATATTATTACGAATATAGGTTTGCCCGTTTTTAGTGTCAGTTCACACGACCTACCGACGTTTCGCGAACGACTTATGCTCTACTTATGTCGATCTCAACGTCTTGTCGACTTTCTACAAGCTCATCTCATTCTTTGAACAATTCGAAATTCTCGATCTTTCGATCTTTCAAGAACCAATCGCTGCGATTAATCACGTATTATAATCGTCGGTCAATCGAATATTTTGATATTACAGTAAGATTCAGTTTAATAGTTCTTTTATGAATTCTTACATATTTCTTAACTATATGATACATGTATTATTATCCTTCACACGTACAGATTTTTTATATAATTTATTTTAGTACAATTTATTTCAAATTTATTTTAGATTTATTTATTTCTGTATAATTTATTCTAATTAATTCTAAATTAGTGTATATTACTGAATATGAATTGATAAAAAATAACAACCTTTAATAAGACGAAAAATATTTATTAATTTATAATCAGTAATTTTTATTATTCTCTAATTTCTTTTCGGATTTTTTAAAATTCACGTATATAACATAATGAAATATTTGTCAAAGGTAGATTATATATATTTATTTAGAGTATTTAAAAATATTTAGAGTATTTAAAAATATAAGATATTTTCGAGTTGAGTGATCAATAGATAGCTCTAACCACGCACTGTCCATTATCATTACCGAAGCAAATCATGGCCGACGACATTACTAACGCTGTCTTCTATATTTATCCAAACTTTATGGCTCGTGACTAAGCATCAGAATGGAACTTTGGCTCGATCGAATCCGCGACGAAAAAAAACATGGATTCTCAAAGCCATAACAGTTAGACGCTTCCACACGAAACCGTAATATAATTCACGTTCATTTGCCGGAAGATGTTTCCGGGTATGATTCGCCGCAGGTATTTTCTCTCGGTTCGCGAGGAAAAAGAAATTTACCCAACATGATCGTCGCAGCAGTGATAAGCAGAGTTGAACGGCGATGACGATGACGATCGACGTTCTTGCTAGCGCAAAAATGGTATTCGCGCGGTTCCGGGGTCGCGAAATTGTCGTCACACCAGAACACGTCTCATTGTCAGTGTCAATTGCGAGCCGACAGTCGGTCGTGACGCAGCCTCCATTCGACAACCTTTCGCCCACCCAGGACGCGGTCGTGATTTTAGACTCCGCAGCGATGTGTACATGCGACATACTCGCGCGATACCGAATGCGCCGGTTCTACCGGGGTCTAGGTTGACAATGGTTGCTAATGCACACTTGAGAGATTCTTCCGAGAGTGGGCAGAGACCGCCGACAGTGTCAGATAAATCCACGCCTGCACGCGTTTAATGTTCAAATTCATTCTGAGAGTCGATGTGATATTTTGTACGTTTTATATGATTGTCTTGTTTTATTGGACCGTAAACTTTTTTTTTTTTTTTTGAAAAAAATAGTTTCGAAGGATTTAATATTTAATTTGAATATTTTATTCAACAAAAATCCAAGTGACTTAAATACTTGATAACATATTGCCTACGTCAAGCGCGAGGTATTGAACCATCAAATCGTTAACTAGAAAGTAGAAATTAGCGATTGATTGATAAATGTTGCCAACTCTCTCGACAATCATGTATTAGATTGCACAAGCGATTATAATTAAAGTCGTCTACGATCCGTTCCATGCGCTCTTCGGTGACATTGACTTCCGCTTGAAAAAGGGAGACACGAGAGTTAGCATCCAGTCTCCGTTTACCAATGTCATTACTAGAGGAAGCGCCCGCTCGACATCGCAACGGGATCTCCGGCGAGCGACAAAACCTATCGCGCGGCGCCCTTTCATTAGCTCTCTCGACGTGTGGGACGTGTAATTTAGGCGAAGCGCTAACTGTTACTCACGCTAACGGGCGATCAGTGTCGACACGGCAACCCCTGGGCCTCGTCTTATCGATCTCGTTCCGTTGCCGGCGAATTGCCTCGTAAAGGGGGACGAGGGGGGACGTGATCGCGCACATGCTCGCTAACACCTATATTTATCATACGTCAACCGGACGGTTACATCGCGGGCTGATGAACCCGAGACGTGTGGGCGTCATGTTAACTCGGCGGAATCAAAGTGATTTACTTATCAACACGATCGCAAGTTGCGAGGAGGCTGCTGTGATCTAACTGTTCCGCGCCGTTGAGTTTCGCGTACGTGTCATTACGGTTACATGAAAACGGCCGGTTCGATAATATAATAGATTGCGCGATGATTCCGACGAGGTAGGGTGCGATCGCGTCTTCTTATCGATCATCGTGCGATAAAATAGGGAATAATTCAGCTGTGTCTAGCAGATTACATGCAGCGTCGAATATGCATCGATGATGATTGATTGAGGACCATTATCGGACCATTCTTCTAGCTAAATATTATTTTCATTAAACTTCAAGTTTAGACATTAATTAAAAATTATTTTTAAAATATGCGATATGGAAAATAAAAACAAATAATCAAATACTATTAAAAATCAATTGTGTGTGAAGATATAATATTTAATCTTTTGATAACCCTTTCTCCGCCAATGATAACATCATTTAAGATGGTTATTACGAATATCTCACGGCATTGAAATCCAGAAACATAATCTTCCTGGGTTCGGAGGTTACCTCTACCGTGACTGTGCACCAGGACGTTTAACGACAGGAAGTTAAGACAGCGATTTGATTTTATCTTATTCACTAACCTCCCCAACAAGATTCGCATACATTCGCTCACGGTCAACTCTATGATTTGCGCTATCGAGTTTTACGGGGAGTAGCGACGTTCGGTTGCACGTGCAATTTGAGAAGGTTGTCACGAAGCATTTACATAGGCGTCCCTTCGCTCGAGAAATTTAGCATATCAATTATACCGCGACGGAGAAATCGGAAGAAACTAGTCGCCGACTAGTCGTAAACAGAGGGAGAAAATATAGAGCACGAAGGCAGAGAAATATATGCGCGTAGCCTGTCGCGCTGATGACAATTTAGGATAGATCTCGCCGCCACATGGCGCATACAAAGCTCGCCATTGTGATTGGACACTGCACCACTGTACCGTGCAGAAGCATGATTACTGTATAGGCGAGAGCATGAGGGGGATGTGGGTGCCATGGGAGCCGCGTGAGAAACGCCGTATGCTTAATGCCAGCCACCCACGTGTCATAACTTAATGCCGTTTGCGATATCCGATACAATTGGGTTACGTTAGCCGGCTGAAATTGCGCTTACGCACCTTTTCAGCTACCGGGGATACGATCTTATAACTATAGTATTGCTTCGTTCACATGATCAAATTTTATCGCAGCAGTTTTTTTTCACTCTATAAGATATTTGTTTAATAATATAAATATACTCACATTTAGCGCGATAAAACATTTCGTTATGTGATTGAGAGATTATACAATTATATTTTAATCGTCTTGTATTTCGCGTACTTTAGCGTTCACGAGTAGGCAGATTTTTAAAAAGAATTAATATATTACCTATTTTCTAAAAAAAATTAATATTATCTATTTTTTAAATCTGATATAATTTTTATTCGCAATTTAATTGGATCCAATATATGACTTTAAGAATAAAGTCGTATAATTCGAGCGCTTTGTTCTTAATCTTAACCCGTCAACTGAATTGCGAGTGTCGTGAGAAACGATACAATTTACGTACATTACGAGGCCTGGTTTGACGGGCCTTGCACGTGTACGTCGATTTACAAAAGCGACGAACGACACGCGTCATGACGATATGAAGGAGAAATCGTAGCCGCACACACGTTTTACTTTACGTGTATATTAATGTGACACGCCATGACTCACGTGTGCGTTCAGAATTCTTGGACGGAAGCGATAATATTTGCTTAGGAAATTCGACGTTTGTAAATAAGATCCGATGCAAGCGGGATACGGTTTCAATAAGCACTCGAAAGCAACAGGCTACTCAGTTAATGCGAGACGGCTATTTTAAAAAATGATAACATCACGCAAAGTTAACTCTGAATGTTGCTGATGCTTCGACAAATGAGAGTCTGTTACTTTATATTTCTCTTGGAAATATTTTTTTAACAATATAAATTGCCTCATAACGCAAAAAACTAATATAATAAATTTCGACTATTTTGCTCGAATGGATTATGTAACTAAATCGTTAATTATCCAGAGTTGTGTATTTTTTTTCATAATTTAATATTTGATATGTATCTTTTATTTTCAGCTCCGATCGCACGAAAGATGGCTTCACCATCTTCATACTCAGCGATTCTAAGGAGAGTCTGGAGTTCATGGACAAAATGTTGGTTTTGCTGCAGGTAAGAATAGTATCAAGTGATCGAACGAATAAAGACTTTATCGTCATGAAATTACACGCAATTCTTGCTTCTATTACAGGGCAGAATCAACGTGGCCCAGACTCTCGTGCTTCGAAATGCCGCAACAACGCATGGACCGATCGATTCTCTCTTACCTCTTAGTAATGTCCAGGTGAGTTCGACGGACAATTGGATCTTTAAACGGCATTGAACGCACTTTCTTACGGGCAAGAAAGTAGTTAATGCTCAATCGCTCTTGCTTGCTTGTTGTGTGCGCTGCTGGTCTAGATTCAACGGTGCATTATATTCGGTCTCTCGAATGTATGGATACTCGTACGTCTCGTACACACATACACGCATACTTCGTGTCGCTTGGTACATTATTGCCGGGAGGTTTCCATTGTGAGACGAGGCTTTTTTGTCGTCGCGAAACGAATATCGATACAAAAGCTGGAGAACTCGGTGTTTGTGATAAATGTAATTTACGATCGCACAAATGCGAGCACTGAGCGACATTATAATTACCCATAAACGTTTCCTTTCAGACCGTCGTCGTGAATGACGCCACTCTCGCCAAGTATATTTCCAGGCGGGAAGAAAATCACCATCAGATGCAATGGATCGCTTTTTACAAGGTAATTATGCCTTTATGGTGAATGTCTAAATTTGCCAACATATTATACGAAAATTGAAACGCTTCATAAATATACGTATCAATGATATTTAAATAGCAATGGCGATATAGTAATTAAATCATTTAATTAATTGCATTTAAACAATATTTTTTTATTTGGAATATTTTAGAAATTCTCTTTGCCAATTTTTTTATAGTTTGCATTTATAACATTGTATATATAATAGAAATAGAGAAAAGATTAAGTTGTTGTTACATCATATTGTATAAGTTCATAAAGATTAACGACCGAAAGTGAATGCGGATAATATTTAGTAAGGTGAACAAATTGTTATCGCAACTTGTCGTTTAACGTCATGCAACCGAAAATCATTTAGATCAGCTTAATGTCATGATAATGATTCGGCAGATTTGGCAGAATAAATACACGTTGGAAATTGTTCGAGCGAAATAATTCTGTTCGCTTCGATGATCTTCCGCAATGATAGTCGGAGAATTTATCGTCCGACTATGGTACTGAATGACATTATCAATTTGTCAGCACTTCGTATCATAAAGATTATTCATATTTGTATTCTAATTGTTAGAATCTTTTAAAATTATTTAAAAAAAGAGAATTAAAAAATCAATTATTTTTTTAATTTTGATGGAGATCTCACAAATACATATACTTTTCATATTTCATATTTTTTCGGATTTGTTAATTTTATTTTTTAAAATAACAGTTTTTCAAGTTTTTTTAAGTATATATAAGTATATATAAGTAATTAAAGATTGATATTTTCAATTTTTTATTATAAGTTATTTATGAATAAGTTTATTAATAAGAATTTTTCTGAGAAAATTTGGAAAATTTCAGTTATGAATTATAATGCAAAAAAGAAACTTAGTCAAAAGAGAACGAGTGAAGAGAATAGAGAGAATTTTAACCGATCATTTCTTGTAATTAATATTTCTATATTAAATTTAAATTTGTAATATCCTTTTTATGAACATTCTTCTAGAGCGATCAAATTATTTTACGACAAACAATTTTATTACGCGATAGAAATTTGCCAATTAATTAATCTCGATTTAATCGATCTGGAAGCGTGTGCTTTTGCAAAAATAACACATTAGCTAAATTATCGGTATAAATAGAATCACATCGATTTGCTTTTTTATTACACATTTTAACTTTAAAACATATATTCAAATACGTGAGTAGATAAATGTATTTAATTTAAACTTTTCGGAATTTCATTTAGATTAATATACGAAAGTTGATAATCTATTTTTTTGCATTCTTGCGAGACAATCTTGACACTATATCAGCCAATATTAATATATCTCGTTTTATAGATATGTATGTGTGTAATTGATCGTAGCGGGAACTGATATCGCTATGGTGAACATACATTCGTCGCGAGTTGATCTAACGCGATTGGTATTTGCGTGTACGCGATCCGATTCGAGCGAAGGAATAATTGGAGCTAAGAAATCATCGAGATAATATAGTTGGGATTATTTGTTCTACATTCTGCAGCAGTTATGCGTCATTCATTACGTATCTCTTTAAACAATGTGCTCTCCATAAGATTTATGTTTGATCGATTACGGCTCATTGAATCGCGCAATCGCCGTATCAAACATGCCCAGTTTTATACGTCGCTGACATTCCTTCCGAATACCGGTTGTCGATCAGGCATATTTCGTTTGGATCGCGAGAATATTATCGAGAAGTAGATAGATCGACGTTTCAACATGATTGGTATTTTGATTTCCCGTAGGAGTACGACAGCCTCATGACGGAGTGGCAATCGGCTGGTCGCAGGTTGGCCCTCGAAATGTCGGAGCTGAAGGAATGCGCAAGCCTGTCTGGCACTTTGACGCCTCTCGGTCGGCTCCTCACGGACCCCACATTGAGAAGAACGTCTAGAGATGCCGAAGAAGCTATCGCCGCGCTCGAGGAACGCGCGGCTCCGCTTTTGCACATCGAGCACGTTAGGTAAAGGAATTTTGTATCCATAACGAGGGGCATAAAATGCATTGTTCATTTAATACCAACTACTATGGATTATTTCCTTTATTATATATTTTGTGAAATATAATTTTTTAATTATTTTAATTAATTTTTTTAAATAAAAATATTGATCGAAATTTGATTTCTTTATTTTTTCTGATATTTCGGATGCGAGAGGAGATGGTTGCGTGAATTTCTAACGGCGTGTCTCACGATTATGGTTTCTTTTTATCTTTCCAGATTGTCGGTGAAACGAGCCCACAGATTGGTGGAGGAGGTGGGTAAAGCCGCCACCAGATTGGAGTCTTCGTTCGAGTCGCGACGCGCGACTATTCGCAATCTCGCGGTTCTACGGAGCATCGAGGATCAAGCCCACGAGGTAAGTCTCAACAAAATTAATATGTTTACAAGTCGTCCAACAAGTTTCGTAAATTTTACTCGTCTGCAAGTAACCTGTTTTGATTAATCCATAATCATTAGCTTATTCAACCAACATTAATTCTGATGCTAGTATCAGCTTGAATGAATCAGTAAAGATATTGCGATTAATCATGTTACAGTTATATTTTTAATACACGAGATATGCTTAAATGCGTAATATATTTATCTGCTATGGGGAATAGAAACGAAATGATATACATTATTTAATTTTATAATTAAAAGTAAAAAAAATGTTATTATTTTTATTATTTTACGAAGGAGAATTAACTAACATAATGCACAATAATTGATCTCCTTATCTAAATAAGGTAAAATTATTTTTAAAAAAATCTAAGATTTAGATTAGCACGATGTGAAGGTTGCTCAAGGGTTGATGATGGCCTTGAACCAGAAAAAGATTGCCGGTGTGCGCTGATTATTCCGCGTGCATGAAAGCCCTCTCTCCCGTCTCGATTATCCGATTACGGAGTTATTGCACGCGGTGCTTATATGACGCATACACGCGATTCATCCTCCCTCTGAGCCGCGCGTGGCCATTTTGTGTCGAGCACGATTCGTCCATTGAATTCAGCAAGTCAGCCTCCCTCGATCGACAAGGGGGAGTCGCACAAAGAGCTCCCTATTCTCGCTTTCACGAACGAGCTTTCGTTTTGAAGATTGCGGCGCGTATACCTGATCGTCGAACGGTCTCTCGATTTAACGTTCGATCTCTCATCGATCTGACCCGGAGGCTTGTTATTCTTTCGTCCTTTGCAAATACGATGAGACTGTATAAGTAGCATCAAGAGAATTCAGCTCTTTCTACGTCGAGGAAGGCTGCATTTATTTATAATTATTTAGAGAGATATGTTTTCTATCTCTATTACACGCATTATTTAAATAAGATATATATTATACTCTTAAAGGTAGATTTTTAATTGAGCTTGGGTTCTCAATTCTGTCTGAATGAGACTTTTTTTAGAAATATGTAGACCTAATTGCATGGAAGTATTTTAAATTACACTCGATGCTTTCTCTAGCAATTTTAGCGGACCGAGTGATTATCCGATCACTGGTTCTGAGAGATGCTTAAAGTAAACACGTGTTAACGTGTTTTCCCCGTGATATTAGATGCTATGGAGATCGGCGGACGCAATCTTGTGCCTCTTCGATGCATTACACTCGCTATTTTCATAATGACGACCAAAGAGAACGTGGTTGACGCGCGTTTACTAACGCACCCGAGTATAATCGATAATGTGATGGGAGGATCGTGCGAATCGATGAACAGTCTAGGAAGCGATGATATCACGGGAAAGGTCCAATCGATCCAATCGTTATCAGAATCCATATATTCGACACATCTTTACTAAAACTTTTAAAAATTTTCTCCTATTTTCCCATACAAATTAATTCATTTGCACAAAGAATTAATTTTTTTAACGTATACGCTTATTTTGAAACATTTATGTTTTATATTGCTTATTATTTTGTATTCATCGTTAAAAAGAACTAAATTTTTCATTTTTTTCTCTCTTATATATTCTTACGAAGACTCAGATGTACTATTGTTTTAATTTTTTAAACATGTTTTTAGCTTTGTAAAAATGAAAATTAATTCTTTTGATGATTGTATTTTTTGTATGTAGTTTATTTCTTCTGTTTTTAAACGTCACGAGTATATTTTTACATTATGTTTGTGAAAATTGTTTCGTAATATTTTCTGTAAACCATTACGTGTAATAACGTTACATCTCTTCTCTTTATGTATACAGCACTTTGAGAACGCGTAATTTTCTGCAACGTTTGCATCGCGCAAAACGAACCGCAATCTAAATTCGTTTTATGCACTTTTAAAAACGAGTCCTTCAGGGCAAAAATAAAATCGAGCCATCACATTTTTTTGTGCACAAGCAAATCAGAAATTACGACGATGGATCGCACACAAACGCCGCCCTTTCGTTGATCGCTTTATAATTATTAATTATCCATCATGCGCATGTAAAGAATAGCAGTGGCCCGCCCTTTAGGAACCTGAGTGTGAATGAATGACCTGGGCGGTTCACGATGCTCGCTAGTGTATAATTTTCACCGTTTTTTTCGCATCTCCCCATAGCCATTTGGGTGTCCAAAACGATCAACATAGAAATAGTATTCGTAGTAATAATATTCATCGAATTTCGAGATTAGATAATCTCTGTTATTTGAAATTATCGAAGATGCAAATTAGATCGCGCAATACTTTTCCAGGTGTCAAATTATAATAACGCAATATATAAGCAGTGTATATACGTAATATATAAAATAATTAAATATATAAAAGTATAATTATTCCGCCTGGTTTATTAAGAAATGATTATAAAGTAACGTGAGCGAATAGATAAGTCATTTAGATGAATATAAATTACTATGACTAAGAACTTGTGGAGGCATAAAATTATTGGGATCTTTGAATAGTGTATTTAAGAGACTAATAATTCAGAATATTAAAATTAAAATCAACATTCAAAATTGCCTTTTATAGCAAAATAAAAATGGAAAGGAATTTTATTTTAGTATCCATCGATTCTTAGAGGAGCCTGTTGGATGGGAAAAAATAGATGTAGAATTATTATAAAGGAGATCAAAGAATGGTGAAATAAAAACAATTTTAATTATATTAATAATTGAAAATTCTCAAATTCGTTGGACAATTAAAGCAAGTAATGCACGTATATTTCCCAATATGTATAAAATTCGCACAGTACAAGAAAAGATCGCGCGAGTGCGAGATCGATCGAAAAATCGCACAAATAGTATCGCATACCGCTCAATCTCGCATGCTATTCTCGATTCTTTTTCTTGCATCGAGTCGTTAAGCCCGAACACGGCTGAGGCGTGCGGCTCCTTCCTACACGCACAAAGCATTCCTCGATAATTAGATACGGGATGCGTGCAACGCTCGGATGCTGCGAGGTACGCGAAGTCGTATACCCGATATACACCCGAGACGATCGTCGCCACGCCATTGGACTTTCACTTTGACGAAACCGCTACTTAACGTCACGATTATAATTTCGATCCGCCGATAAGCATAGTCCTTGGATGGATTTTGTTCGTGAAAGGAAACGCGTCTCTCTCGCCTCCATAGTTTCTCGAAACGGACGCACCCCGACGTTTGAATTCCCGTCGAACTGGAATACCGTTGTGTGTGATAAACGTCGATCGAGTGGCCGGTTTATTAATCAACGATATTCGTCGTCTAAGTGCGTACTTTGGTTACGCTGGCGCAACGAAAACCCATAAAAGGAGCTGGCCGTCAATCCGTAACGTAGGCACTTCCTTATTGCTACGGTTAATCGCCGCCTCGCGACGTACGGATAATGATAACGGGCTCCTCTTTGCGGGATACCTACACTAGGACCGGCGGCGCAATGGCGCCCAATCGCGATTATTTATCCCCACGTGATACTTATTATCTTATTAACTGCGTGCGCGCGATGTGATCAGGAACGCGTAGTGGTAATAGGTAGTTTAACGCGCTTCGCTTGGATCGATCCATCTATCATAAGGCAAGTGGTAATAAAGGAAAGCAGGTAGCGGCTCGCGGGCGATAACGCGAGACAACATTATCGAACTGATTAATTATTAATCGGAATCATTTTCCCGTAAGCGCCACGTTGATATGTTTACGATTGGAAGCGCGTTAGCATCTTACCTGACGTGATATCTAAAGCAAAGAGCTTAGAATAAATTTAGAATCCGATAATATAATAATTACATGTCTAAAAAAATTAAATATATATTATAATATTAAATATATATGTAAATATATATATATATATATTATAATATTAAATATATATATAAATATATATTTCGATTGCTTCGATAATATAATTTGAAAGATTACATGTCAGTTAAAATTATATGTCCGCGTAATTTTTTTTTAGGATAAATTCAAGTAATATTTCTTATTATTCATAATTTCATATGAGCCTATAAAAAGAACTTATAATAAAAGAGAGAAAAATTATTACAAGTAATTTATATTACTTTTACCGAGAGTATGTCATATGTATTATCGAGATAGCAGTTTCTGTTACATCTGTTGGTTCTTCTCCCTTTTTTTATTGGATTTCCATTGGGATGCAGGACCATACTGTATTTGATCATTCTTTTGCCAAATAAGCTCAACGCACGCAATTTTAATCGGCGATTTTAATCTGGATGATTGCCATTTAGTAGATCGAAAGTGCGCTCCGTACAGTGGCACGCATGAGGAAGGACGACGTATCCTGGAAGTGGGTCGGCGGCTCTGACAATTGTTTAATTGTTCGATCGAAGCACTTCCATCGAGCGTATTTCGCTTTCACGTTACGAACGATCAAGGGAGGAGATCTATATATTTTATTCAGAGTTGCCTCATCAGCATTGCTAAATGAGAATATTCTATTTCGTAAACTCTTGTGATGTTTCGACGGAATCTTAACGACGTTGTCTCTCAATGTCGTGTCTCTTAATAAATAATTCTGTTATAAAAACATAGTTACGACAAAAATTTCTATCACACAATAGACTGCAGTTGTTACATATTTATATAGACATAAGATATTTATTTTTTGCCTCTAAGGTATAGAATATTCTCTCTCTCTCTCTCTCTTTCTCTCTCTCTCTCTCTCTCACTCTCTCTCTCTCTCTCTCTCTTTCTTAGACGCTCTAATTTCAAATGATTGATACACGTGATTGATACGTGCGAATCTATTCGTCTATAAAAGAGAAGTAGTCTCGTTTAACATTGATCGGTGGTTCACCTCGAGCGAGCGGCAGCGCCTTTCGATCGACCATAAAATTATCACGCTTTGTTGTCGGAGGAGGAGAACGAGAGAAAAAATCTAGAAAATACGCACAACAACAATAATCACGATGATCGCCCGAAGCGAAAATCTCGTCGTGCATTCCGTTATTACGCGTTCTACT